CACTTTTCTGATCGCATGTGTCGCTCCATCTTTAACTTTTTAGATTTTCAATGTACTCAACAGATGAACAAGTGTTTACCTTCAAACAAATCTATTACTAGCAATGATCAATGCCCAGCACTTAAATAAGCTTGGTCGTTGCAGGGTTGAAATAATTTTGAAGCTTTTTCTTTCTAATCCGGTATACGTTTCTCGGCTCATTCTATTCAAGCTGAAGAAAAGGTTCTTAAAGATAGAACACCGCTCTTGTAGCAGTTGCTTAGGAAATTTTTCATAGTTCCTCAAACAAAGGAAGACATCATTCATTAAGCTTTGTGTATGTTCCTTTTGAGCTGCCCCTTTCAGGCACAGTATCGGAACTAGTTTTTGATTCTGTTTCTGCTTTACACGAAGTGGTGGCTTCCGGCACTCCCTGTCCTTGCCCAAGTGTAGCACCGGACAAATGGAATGATCAGGTTATGGTAGGTGTTTGGTAGTTGATAAGCGAATGCAGACAGAAACATAAGGCAGTGGGAGAGAGTGCAATGTAAATTTGTTGTGTTCGTTTGTTCATACATCCTATATTTTCCTAAATTATAGCCGCGGTACATCTTTTTGTGCTTTGAAGGCTATATTTATTTTACTTTTGTTTGTTTAAAACTCCTCCACTGCATACATTTATTTTTAAAGGTTTGGTAACTTTTTTTCGTTTTTTGATGTTTTTATTCTCAACGTGGATCTGTGGATCTTCCATTGATTCATCTTTTTTTTAAGCTTACATCACAAAATTTGCAAGCATCTCGCATTCTTCTTAGCTCCATTTGTGCTCATGCAACTATGATGGATGAACTTTGGTAAGTACACTTCATAAATAAATAACCGTGCAGTTTCATGCTTTCTTCTAGGTATTTATGTATGCTGACTTGTCAACACGTTGCATGGCTGCTTGGGATACGCCCAACATCCAATGGTATTTTTACCAGGGAAAAACCAGAAATTGATCAGCAAAGTACGTGAGAATTTATTTCCACTGATCCAGTGGAATATTTTTTTAAAATTTGTTTGTTATAGAATAATCATAGTAACTCTGTTGTTATAGGCTGTGTTTTTAGTTCTTTTTTTGAACTTTACATAGTTGTACTTTTCAGACAATGCTGGTGTAATCACAACTGCAGCACTTTCCGAA